CACACACACACACACACACACACACATATATATATATATATATATATATATATATATATATATATATATATATATATATATATATATATATGCATATATATATACATATAAATGTATAAATGTATATGAGTGTATAAATGAATGTCCCGTGCCAAAGTAAATGTATCCCTTTAGTAAAGGCTAGCAAGTTAAGCTTATACGATTTACATCAGGATAACAGTTATCCTTTGATTCGATATGCACTGGAATGTGCCACCTCTGTTTAGGAAAATGGTTGTATTTCGTAAAAGAAAGAAAGAAAGAAAACGAAAATTGTTTATGAATGTTTATAACTTAGAGGAAGAAATTATTGCAGTTATAATTATATTATCATGACTTTGATTTTCTTAATCAAAAAGGAGTGTAATATAGAACGCGTATGGAGAACGTGCATCTTGTTACACGTAAGCCTATCATCAATACTAATCTAATCAATGGAGATGAGACGCAATGCCGAAAGAAACATTTATTAGATGTCTGGTATCTCTATGAAGGAAGTGTGAGGTAATCGCAGGCTAAAGATGTACGAGAATTTGATCACGTGGTCGATTGGCTAAAGATATACGGGAGTTAATTCTGTCTCATAAAGCATTATTCATGGGTGCCCTTTTAGCTCCTCCTTCATCACCTCTGTCGCTCTCTTGTTGTCGGGTTTCTTTCTCTTTCTGTTTCTCTCTTTCTGTGTGTTTTTGTCACTTTTTGTTTTTTTTGCTTTTAAATTTTTGTTTTTCTGTTTGTTTGTCTGTCTGTTTGTGTGTCTGTCTGTATGTCTGTGTGTCTGTCTGTGCGTCTGTCTGTCTGCTTGTGTGTCTGTCTGCTTGTGTGTCTGTCTGTCTGTCTGTCTCTCTTTTTTTACTTTCTTCTTACAGGATTCACGTTTGAGAAAGAGAGAGAGAGGGAGAGAGAGATTCATTAAAACCTTTTCGAAAAAAGTACGCACTTGAAAACGTATTCTTCTAAAAAACACACTGATGACTTAGCCCTTGAAAACAAACACATTGATCCGCTTGCAACCGGTTACTATATTTGTTTAGTAAAACCAATTAATTTCGTTTCAATATGTTTACACATGAATATGCAATATGTGGCGAGTAAATGGAGGACCGTCTCTGAATTCAAGGCTATTCATGCTATTGTACAGTAGCATACACTATTCATAATTTATAGAATTTACTTACCCACTTCTCACTCTCTCTTTTTTTTCTGTCTCTGTCTGTCTGTCTGTCTGTCTCTGTCTGTTTGTCTGTTTGTCTGTCTCTCTTTCTGTCTGTCTGTCTGTCTGTCTGTCTGTCTCTCTCTCTCTCTTTCTCTCTCTCTCTCTCTCTCTCTCTCTCCCTCTCTCTCTCTCTCCCTCTCCCTCTCCCTCTCTCTCTCTCTCTCTCTCACACACACACACACACACACACACAAACATCAATGCCTGTATATTTGATTTCAGCACTATTTTATATATATGTATATATATATATATATATATATATATATATATATATATACATATATATATATATATATATATATATATATATATATATATATATATATATATATATATATATATATATATATGTATATATATATATATATATATATATATATATATATATATATTTTTTTTTTTTTTTTTTTTTTTTTTTTTTTTTTTTTGCCTTGTATACACACGCAGGCCTTTCCCCATTATCAAAATTTAGAAAATGGGTCTTAAAAAAATACTTGTTAACTCGTCGAAACAAATGCTAAGTACGTTTTATGTAAAGCAGAATTGAAATCACTAATTAAATATTCCTTTTTTTGCAGTAGGTTCATAATAGTAACAATTGTGGACCGTTACCTTCTTAAACGTATTCCACTAGAATTTAGAGCTGTAACCTGTATCCGTGAGAGTAGTGATTATAATGATGTATTTTTTTCTATAATGATTTCATACGTTACCGACATACAAACTAAAAAAGATAGGAAAATCATCATATAGATAAATATAATTCTTATATTTATGATGATATATATACTACATAAAAACAATATTTCTAAGATGATGTTTTTGAGAATTCTCTGATAAAGTAGTTGATCAAGATCTAAATATGCCTCTTGTTGAATGAATTAGCCTTTATTAAACCATTTGAATTCTGGCTTGAACGAACAACACCTAACGTCGGCAAAATCTGCCATGATATAGTATACCCATAAAGTCTACGGTATGGTTTTGCCACATTTCACTTACGACTCGCGCTGAGGGGGAAGAGGTCTTTACGTCCTTAAGCAGTATCATAGTCAGAGTTAGGGATATCATCCAATAAGATTAGTGTGTCACAATAATGATAATGATAACTGACCGTAATGATGATAAGAAAATAAGAATGAATAGACAATTTAAAGGAAATATTGTAATACAGACAGCGGACTTACTCAAATGACACGAATGTTAAGAAAAAATGTGCCTACTGCTTAGGACTATTTAAGTATCACATTCTGAAGGGCTTAAGTAACTTATTTACATGCAAGTAGTTGAGAATGACAAGACGGGTGTATTAAACTTATTTTTAAACAATTTACCTTTCACCAAAATCGTGTGTTTTATACAATTTATCTGTATAAACAAACAAACACACACACATATGCCCACTCATACACACCCACACACATAAACTCTGACCTAGCTGTATGTAAAAGAAGAAGAAGAAGAAGGAAATTTATGGATAGGAAATGTATGCTTAAATGTCTATAAAATTTTCTCCCATGCGGTAGTCTAATATACTTCACCACTCTAGTTAAAAACCAGAGTTACTTAATAATACACGATGGACGAAAGGATCTTAGGAATAAAATACTGAAGGTGCTTTGGGCAAGTACTTTATAAATTTTTGCCGTTCCTTAGTAACCCCGGAAGCAGTAGAATTAAAGGTTCTTAATTTAGGCTTTTATTTACCACTCTAACTCTCTCGTTTTAAGCGTAGGTAGATTTTATTTCAGGCAAGATTATGTTGCAAGGATTACATGAACATAAAGCAAACCTTGGATAAAAACACGGAAATCTTTTAATATCCTATATTAAAGAGGAAATAAGTGGCTGGATTGCAGTGTTAGCTTGAAATATGAAATACACTTTATACACAGCAGATTAATCGTAATGTGAAGTTGTGAATAAAACTACCCCCAAAAAATTAAAAATTTATTCTAGGTGTCATCGTATCACTATTTTTTTTTCTATGTGATTCTCTGCTAAAATTATATTAAATCATGCTACAGCTCTGAGACCTTCATCGATCCTAACAAGTAGAGGATCTGACACTCGCCCTCCCCTTATACCTTAAAGAAGGGGAAAAGGCGCCAATACCGCACTTCTCCCCTCTCTGTCTATCTATTTATCTAGGGCTCAGCAGATTCATTTGGCTTGACCTCTCCCCTATTAGGCAGGCATAGGCCATTTGCATACGAAATTACACACATGCACACACACACACACGCACACACATACACACACACACACACATATACACACACACACATAAACACACACACATACACAAATATATCATTGTGTGTGCGTGTGCGTGGAAATACACACACACACACACTATTGTATATATACATATGTGTGTGTGTATGTATATATATACATATATATATGTATATGTATATACATACATATATATATATATATATATATATATATATATATATATATATATATATATATATATATATATATATATATATATATATATATATATATACATACATATATATATATATATATATATATATATATATATATATATATATATATATATATATATGTATATATATATATATATATATATATATATATATATATATATATATATATATATATATATATATATATATATATGTATATATATATATATATATATATATATATATATATATATATATATATATATATATATATATATATATATATATATATATATATATATATATATATATATGTATATATATATTTATATGTTTATATTTATATTTATATGTGTGTGTGTGTAAGTGTGTGTGAATGTGTGTATGTGTATGTATTTACATTCGTGTGCGTTTGTTCTTTTACAAGAAAGACAAAGAGAGAGAGCTTCTCTTGCTGTATATGTGCGCACGTGTGTGCGTGTCTGGCCGTGCAGGCGTCCGCGCGGCAAAGGAAAATGATCCGTAGCGGACAGCCGCGGGCAATGCTTAAAGTTACACTCCAATAAAGATGTCGGCCCTTCCCTCCAGGGGATGCTGTGGCCGCTGTGTCTTGGTCGATTGCTTGCATCTCCGCTCCAGAGACACTTGCGGTTGCAAGCAGGGCGGACCAGACGCTCGGCCGGAAAGATGGAGGTGGGCTCTCGGGCCTCGCTCATCTCTGCCTCTGTCTCTGGCGCAGACCTTTTCCCTTCTGCAGGAGGCCGTTCTCCAATAAGACTTTTTTCTTTCTTTCTTTTTTTATTTTTAAATTCGCTTTCACGATGGGGATCCTAAATTACCTAATATTTTCACAATTGATATGGATACTACTATTCTCTGTGACTTTTTTTTTTTGTCAAAAGGTTCATACAGAATGACATATGGCCAAATACTTGTGCTGTAAGTTACAATCTCGGATTCAAGGGAGACGGAGCGACCAAATCTCATCACTTTCTCATTATTTAAAGCTGATAGCTCGAGTCCTTAATTCAAAAAGACTTCCTGCTGTTTGTCTACATCCATATTTAACTGACATCAGCTTGTTTTTTTATTTCAAAACAGGCCCTATTATATGCATATATACACGTATTTAAATGACATCTGCTTAATTTCCTCCTTGTAGACGATCTCAAATTTTCTTTTGACGTCCAAACTGATTAATCACCCTATTTCTCCTTCTTTCAGAGCGTCCCAAGCTTCCTCATTTAGCTCGAGACGCGTCAACAAGTGCCCCTAACTAACCCTATCCTCTCCTCTCCTTCCAGATGGTCGCAAGGCCTGTTATTCCACCAAGCGGCCGTGGACTGTGCGCGCGCCGCCATCCTCATCCCCCTCGGCCGGTCCATCTACAACTGCGTGCCGGTCGCCAAGTGTTCATTAGTGGAGACTGCCTTCCTGCTGCTTGTCACGGTTTCCACGATCAACATGTTAACAACG